TAAAAATATAAATAAATACAATTATTTTTCTTATCATAAATTATAAAGAAAAAAATTAACTTTATTCTATTTAATCATTTTGTTTTAAAAAAATATATCAAGATAAAATAAAACTTTAATTTAATTTTTTTTCTTTCATTTTTTGCATAATCAATAACAAATTAAAATTAATTTTATATCTTTTCAGAAAGTTTACTTTTAAAAAATACAAAAATATGACTCTAAATAATTATGTTTAATTTTTTTAAACAAATATGTATTACTTTTTTTGTTTATATTTTGTTCCGGAATGAGTATGCTAAAAAATAAACTAGTTATGCAATATTAATTCTTATCTTTCGTCCTAAAGTTTTAAGTAATCCGAAATACAATATTGCAGCCGCCAGCACTAACTAGTTTGCGTTAGGTTGTTAAGAAAAACGAAAAAAACAAAACGACTGACAGTTTGCAACTGGACCAATTCTATTTAGTTTAAAGGGGTAATTCATATGGTTTTTTTATTATAAATTATTTTTGATTTTTCATACATATTAAAAAATATAATAATTTGTAATATAAAAAAGATAAATCGTGAATAATTAAAAGATAAATTTAGATAATTAAAAGAATAGAGAATAATAAATATTTAAGAGTATAAAAAAAATGACATTAATTATTTATTGGTATTATAAAGTAACTTATATTGTGGTACAATTTTTTTCCTCAAAGCGACTTATAATAAAAAACAGAAGTAGTATTATTTAGCTGAACTTCTAATATTATCTAAAATTCAAATTTTAAAATCCCGTCACATTAACTACGTAATAAACTATATTTGAAATACACCAAAGTAAGTGTAAAAAATTTGGATTTTCGAATCCAAAATGTTGAATTTTTACGAAGATTGAAATGCAGACGCTTCTCTTTAAGTATTTTTGTCCAAACATTTCCTTCTCCTTTCTCTTTTTCATTCAACAAACAGAACTGGCATGCCTTTATTCTAGCATTTTTCAATCTTTCTCTTAACTTTTACTCCATTGTGTTCAAGCTTGACACACCTCTTAGGTCATCTGTCTCCGACATCGTCTTTCTGAATTCATGTATTTCTGCCTCATCATGAAGCCTTTGTTGCCCCATAAGCCCATGTTATATTTGATAATGTTTAGTATCCAAACCGTGCTACTAGGCATTGTGTGATCGAGTTTGGTTCTTAAGATTAACCAATCATAAAATCTCTATTTGATTTTTATATTAGTTTGGAAAATATCTAATTGATTTGTTATCTTAGTTATTTCAACCTGGGTAAAAGTTTTCTTTTTGGTTGAAGATCAGCCATTGTAAAATTGATAAGTTCTATATTTACGTTAAATACGTTGGCACTTATCTGCTTATTTTACAAGTAAGATTCACAAAACCCTTATTTATCTATGAAAAGTAAAGAAACTTATGCTTGGACTTTTCTTGTATGCATTTATAAAAAGTAGGTGAAAAAAGATGGAAAACCACGAATCAACACGAAAAAAACTGGCAAAAGTAAAACCTAGAAGAATCCAGACTCGCTTGACCCCATTTACAAGTGCGTTGGGCGCAATGTAGGGCTAGATGAAAACTCCAGGTGCAACTACTTCTGGTGAAGTAAATGTTACAATACTACAAATAATACATTTTATGCCAACAATTTCACCACACATGACAAAACACCGAGGTATATTACCTATAAGTGCCATATTTTTTTCTTTTAAAAAGAACAATCATATTTCGTCGGTTTTAGGAAAAATACCAAGAGATAAACTAGTTCAAGGTACATACTTCGAATCCCAACAACTGTAGTTTTTGTTTTTAATCTAAAAATAAGTCATTTTCACTTCGGTTTTCTTTACTAACCGAGGTGAAATTGTTTACTCTGATATATATAACTTAGCTTGTAGTGTTCGATTTCACTTGCCTAAAAACACACTAAAATAACACACATATAACCCTAACGAAGAGCCCTAAACAACGAGAGTCCTAAACTCATATCATCCTCCAAATCCTAAAAAAAAGCAAACAAATACAAAGATGATATGTGTTTAGGGCTCTTGTTTGATACTTGTCTGAATAAAAGATCAAAATCATTTCTATCACTTTTTTTTTCATAGATCTGCTATGTCAAATATCATTACTCATGTTACATTAATGTTGTTGTTTGTTAATGTTGTCATTGTTTGTTGTTGTTGAGAGCTAAAACCCTAAAAACTTTAATATTGTTGTCGAGACCCGAAACCTTAAAGGTTTAATCTTGTTTTTGTCGTTTAAACTAAGATTGATGTTATATGTTGTTGTTTTTGTTGAGATAAGTAAGTTATAGGTTTATTGAGTATGATGCTATTGGTTTATTGTTAATGTTGTTATATCGTTGTTGTTGTTGTTGTTCAGTTGTTATATTTATAAAAGTTTTGAAAGTTATATGTTGTTATTTAGTTGTTGTTATTGAGTTTGAGACTGAGATTGTTTTTTTGTGATTCTTTGTGTAGCTCTCATCTTGTTCCGCGGAATATGTCAAGAGGGCATTATAGTTATAGAAAATATAGTTAAGTTTATTATATTTAATGTTGTTTGTTTGTTTCACTAACCACTCTTTAAACATTTAACCTATTAAACTGATATTGAAAATAATAGTATACAAAATATATTTTATTTGAAAAACAACTTAAACTAATAAATATTTTTTGAGCATTCTGTAATTCATCATTCATCTCACGTTCTTTAAATGTTAAAATCTCTCTAATACTTCTAGTTTTCGTTCAACTTTCTTCCATACTTATTCATTTTGCAAAGCATGAAATTTTATGCTTTTAAGAAAGAAGTGTTGAATTAAGAACTTGTAACATTGAAGAGATTCTAACCATTAAAGAATTAGAGATGAATAATGAGTTACAAGATACTTAAAAATAAAAAATTAGTGTATGTTGTTCTTTAAATATAATTGTTCATATAATTATTTTTGTAAACTAATTTGAGAAGTTATTGTTCAGGTAGGGTTAAATGAAATTAGACATTATAAACTCAATAGCGTTTAGTCGTCGATTAAATGACAAAACCAAAGGAAAATATATTTTCACCATTTACAAATTTCAAAAAGGTCTCGCTAAGGATCGAACTCATGACCCTTACACATTACCTTCGATGGATCTGCAAAAGAAGGTTAATGTGGCACACTTTTCATGTCATCATTCGTTATCTCGCGTATGAAATCGAGGTAAAACCCTTATTTCAACCAAAGTAAAAGAGATTTTTGTCATTGTAGTGTTAGCATGCTAGTTGAAAGGGTGGTGCCCTTGGAAAGTAAAGATAACCAAGGACACGTGGAAACATGCAAGTATTGCTTGCTGAAGAAGAAAAACTGGCTAGTCAGGGTGTATAAGAATGGTAGGTGCGCTAGGAGAGAAAACGATGTACCCAGCGAGAGGCTTACAATTTTGCCTATAAATAGAAATTTTCAGTTCAGTACAAAGGAGGTTTCGGTGAATCGAAGGAGTACGGAGTAAGTTCACTTTGGTCTACAATAGGAGGATAAGAAAGGAAGTCTAAAGGCGGTACCACTGCTCAAATGACAAATAAAATCTTGTTTCTGAAGTTAACGTCTTCGAAAACACCAACTGTTACGCTAACCACGAGTAAGTATATCTAAATTTCTATTGTTTGGGCTAGATGTAGTCATAATATTCATGTACTAAATAAGTCATATGTAAATGTACTTATGTTGCAATATTTGTGACTCTTTAATCTTAATGCTTGTTTTAAAATTGTTCTTAAGGTGTGACCTGACATCAAAAGCTATTTGTCATTACTAGATTAAAGATAATCATCTATTGAATATTAAGACTAGACATAGGTGTAGGCTCAATATCCACACGTAGTGTAACACAATTGGCGTGGAATCTTGTTACTCTACAATTATTGACTGCCTGATTTACGAAGGATGAGGAGATTTAAGGTGCGTTCGAAGATGAATTTCCAAAACAAATTGAGGGCGTTTTTGAATTTTCAGAAGTATGACTCACACCATAAAGGTGAGAAAAAGAAATTTTCTTGAGTTATCAGAAATGGGAGATGGATAAAATGGCGATGGAACACTAGCTTATGAAGCAACAAACCATGAAAGAGTTGAAGTTGAAGAATGAAAACACCAAATTAATAGGCTCTAAAATATTAAAATATTAAACCGTAAATATTTAAACAAAAGAGAAGAGAGAAAACTTTCTAAAAAAATATTAAAGACTTTTTTATTTGATTTGATTTTTTTATACCTAATGTCAATAAGACTCTATTATATAGTAGCACTAGAAAATAATAAAATAAAACACTCAAAGATTAAACAGCTCAACTAACTTAGAACAAAAAAAAAACAATTTCATACTCTTTCACTAAACTTCAAATTAAAGGGAAACAAAACAGATTAATACCTAATAGTTTTGTTTTTAAAACTTTATATCAGATTTTGAAAACGACTAATCAATCTATTAGCAGAGGCCTCGTTTAAAGAAAAAACAAAACTAAACACAAGAATATTGATACCTAGAAAGATTTGAATTTGAAATTTTGAGAGAAACAGACTGTCTGTGACCGGTTTCTTCTCCAAGTTGATACAAAAAGAAATTTTGCATTGTCACTGGCACATGCATATTACTGCATTAGAATACCACAACTTAAAATATAAGCAATTTTCTAGTCCAACACTTCTGATTTTAGTGGTGAACGACCTGATCAATGGGTTCAATTTAATTTTTCCTGTTACAGTTGGGTAGAAAAAGATGTGAAATTGTAGTCAAATATATCATTCCAAATTATATCAGGCAGCCTCCACAAAGTTGTTGATATACTGATTCATTTTGTAATTTTGCAATAAAAACTAATAGTCTAAATTGTTGTTTGGGAGTTACAGTCAAACATACTTCAAAGAAATGCAAATTTCTGCCAAAGATCAAAGGATCAACTTCAAAGAAAAGCTAGTGCGAACATACGCAAAAAGAAAAATAACCCTACTTTTTGACGGACTTCTTTTTTGCAGTTACATTCACAGATGGTTGTGGCTTCGGATGCTTCTCCGCCTCACTTGGGTCCAACCACTTAAGAGGATGGTTGTTGAAAAAAGGCCAATTCGGAAGAGTGACTAATGTGGTGAGAACTACACCACCAGCATATGTGAGAATCATTGTTTGGAAAGAAGCCAGGAAATATCCAGCTCCAAATGCAATCACAGCAAATGCAAGCAGCATTATTTGCATCAGTTGCTCTGCTAGCTTTTGCCCTTCCCAATCCATCTAATGAAGCAATCAACGAAAAACACTCAACCACTGAGAAATGAATGCCGAAAACATTATTACTTCACAAAAAACATACAAAACACAAGGAACATTGAAAGTCTTGAAAGGGGTTATACATGTTTTTGTGTAACAACATAAAAGTCTGTTGTCCTTCCAACTAATACTTAATATTTCATAGACTAACACAGACTAAGGCCTTGTTTCAATAAACAGTTTCATTAAACTTTTATAGCATAAGCATTTGCATATAAGTACTTATGTATAAGCTATAGTTCTATGACAAAAAGATACAAAAAAATTAAACTATTTTTATATAAACAAACTATAAGTTACTTTCATAAGCTATTCTGAAGAGCTTATAGAAATAAGCTAAAAGATAGCTTATGGACATGGCTTAATTGTTTCTGTAAACTCTTTTGAATAATCTCACAAGTGGTTAAGTCAATAAAATACTTTCAAATGATTAAGTCCTAATATACCCTAAAAAAGCACTAGGGTTTTAAATTGTAGTGGTTGTGTAAGATTAGATGTTGTGAAAATAAGAACAAACGAGGCTAATGTGCCACAATTCTGGTAGCAATGTTGGTCCCAACAATCATAACATTGTGCTCGCAGACCTTTAATTCAATAACAATGGTTAATTACAAAATAATAATTTAAAAAAAACAATAACAACAACCAAATCTTATTCCACTAAGCGGCATCGGCTACATGTATCAATCAACATTTTATCGAATACCATACATCTATCCAAATTATCAATCTCTAGTTCTTTCTTAATAGTTTTTCTTATAGTTTTTATAGATCATCCTCTACCTCTAGAGATTTGACTACCCTCAGTCTTCTCTCTACATGCCCTAACTACCAAATTCTAGTTCCTAGAATCTTTTCTGCTATAGGTGTTTCCAGTTTAACCTTACCATCACACATCAAAACCAAATCCTCATTTCTGAAACAGTTAAACTCACTAACTTAGATTGAGTAAATAGACATTTTAGTCCTTAAAACTGTAGGCATAGCTCTCAAAGTTATTATAAAATAGTACTTAATTCAGCACTTTACCTTAAAAAATACTATCAATCTATTCAATTTCAGTCTCTTCATCAAAATATTAATTTAGTCAACATTCATCAAAACCAATAAAAGAGATATATATTGACTCAGATAATCTGAAAATTTGACCAAATTGACTAACCTTCACAATTTCAAGAACTGAAACAGTTATTTACTCATCTAGATCGGAGAATATAGAAATGACATGAAAACGAGTGGAATGGGCGAGAAGGTGTTAGATCTAACGAAGAATGAAAATAGAGAGAAATCTATGAACGACATTGAAGGAAATACCTGAAAGTTGTTGAATCTGTGTTAGGAAGAAAAGGGGGCGAGAGTTGGTAGTGCGAAATGAGGCGGTATTTTGAACTAAGATTTTGTAATCCTTTCTTTTAACATTTTATTACAATTTAAGAAAAAGGAGGAAAATTATGTACACGTAATGTTTTTATTATCTACCTATTAAAAGTTAACACGGGGAATTCATTTCACTATGACCTCTGATGTTAAAAGAAAATCAATTGGGACATCAAAATATGTACGAGACAAGTTTTAAAAAAAACGTACAAGACAAATATAAGTTTTTATCTATACTTTTTTTATATGAAAAAGAAAGGGGGAAACTCCTAAAACAAATAAAAACTAACTGCCAAGATATCGGTATAGTATATAAAGGGATAAAGGGGAGTAATAGTAGGAGAAATGTGGAGTTTTAAAAAATATAATATCCGTGAAGATAATCAACTATAACATGTACAAATTGTACAATGATGTGGGAATCTAATGACTTCGAGTTTGTATTTAAGGCAACTGAAAGAATGTCCGGGGGCTGTTTGCTGTTTGGAACAACCATATGGTGAAGACTTAACGGAAAAGTGTTTTGAATCATGCTTTGTGGTTAGAGGGGGAATGGGATGAGGAGGATAAGAAAGTAGTCAATTTGGTGAATGTGTAAGCTCGCTGCAATGCAATGGAAGAAGAAAATTGAATTTATGGAAGGAGCTTAGTCAAATAATCGCGGGGAAAATGAATGAAGGTTGTGTTTGATGGGAGACTTTAATGTTATAAGGGAAGAATTGGAAAGAAAATGGGCTAGTGAAAATCTTAGAAGAGAAGAAGTAAAAGTGTTCGATGAGTTTATCCCTGAATCATAACTAATACACCTTGGTCTAGAATAGAACTTGCAACTATGAGTCCGATTTACACGTTCCTTTTATCATACATAGCCAACTAACACTCAATGGTGTATAGATAAGGAGCTTTTTGATCACTGTCCGATTTTGTTAAATGAATCAAATTCAAAACTGAGATCAAAGCAGTTTCGAATGCTAAGTTGTTGGAAGGATTTGGAGGACTATCATAAATTTGTTAGAGAATTGGCAAGAAATACAAGTGGAAGGTTTGGGGAGTCTTTGCTCCATTTACCATCCCTTCGTTTACTCCATTTCATTTTATAGATTTACAACACGTATTAAAATTAAATCTAACGATTATAATTAAAAAATAAATAAAAATATTTTTTATTCTTTTGACGTTCTATTGTTGATTCCATCCTTCTTTCTCTTCACGCCCCATCGACACCGCTACTAATTCCAACCATCAACCATGATTCCAGCCACTACCACCGGCTACAACCGCTACTAATTCCAACCATCACCCATGATTCCAGCCACTACCACCGGCTACAATTGCCACTACTATTGGTCACAACAATTGTCACTGTTATATTTGATCTTTACTCAATTAAAATAAATTAGATTCTTTTTGTTAGATTAAAATTCTTTTTAAATGAAAGAGGATTTAACTGATGGTGGTTATAATCGGACTCCTTTAATTCAATGAAAAAAATGACGGTGTTAGTAAAATAAATCATTAGCATCACAAATCGCACTATAAAAATGACCGTCTTTATTAAATATAAATAAACATACATATTTGTGTGCATGTGACTCGAATTATTTGCTTGCTATGGTAATTTTGACTCTGGTGTTTGATCAAAAACCATAAATTACTCAATAAAAATATTAGAATGGCATTCCAAGAAATAAGACATGAAGTCTCATAAAAGTCAATTAAGTAAACTAGCAAGTATATTGCTATCTCTATTACCACTAATCCAGTGAAAAAAATTACAGTTATAGTATTAAACCTACAAGAAAGAAGAGTTATCCTACTATTTAGAAATAAAATAAGACAACATTCTAGTTTATTTAAGCACCTCTTAAAAAATTTAGTAGTCCCACGGTAAGCCAACCAAGCTTTAAATTTAATCTTTAAAATAATCACAAAATTATTTACAATCCTTTTGTACAGTCCAAGTTCTGACAGTTTTTATACTGCAAGTGAAAAAGTTTGAGAGGAGGTAGAGAATTCACATTCACAACATGCTATTGATGATCAAGTAAGGCCACTTCTGACTTCCACTCTTGAATTGCAGAACGTAAAGTATGATTTGGAGTCAACTCAGAATGCTGGAGTTTATGCTTTGTTACTGGTGACACATTGTGCTTGCTCAACCATGCTTTGATTGCTCTGTACTCATAAGTGAAACCATCCGCGGCAATATACGGCTCATCCATGATTTCCTGCGGTACTCACCAGTCAAATAAGAATGAAAAAATACATCTTATTAAAAAGATACATGCATCACAAAAATATGAAAACACAATAACAATTAACCATATGTTCATCAGATATCAACAAGGTCTAGTGCAATTGGAATACCGAGTTCAATTCCTACGGAAGAAAAAGATAAATGTCTGTTTATACCTGAAGGATTGGACAATAATACTGGCTTGGAGTGGATACACTCTTTGTTCCTATCTTGACACTAGCATTTGCCATATCAGATAGCCTTTTGAGCAGTGGAAGAACTTCAGTATCAAGTTCTGGTCTATCTCTGCATCTAAGGGCAGTGCATTTAAGGCCAATTTCAGTCAATTCAATTGTCTCATTCAGTGGCCAGTCTCCAGCTGATTTATCTAAAATATCACGAAAGGATCCATTTGTAATCGCATTTTCAATAGTCATGATAAGCCCACGTGCATGGCGAGCAGTTATCAACTGAAGAATTATTACTCCAAAAGCATATATATCGGATTTCGGTCTAACGGTGCCGGTTCTTTGATACTCTGGGTCCATGTAATGAAGAGTACCGGCAAGCACAGACTCTCTGTATTCTGTGATATTGTCAGGTACAGCGTCTGAAATGAGTTTAGCAAGTCCGACATCTGAAATTTTGCTAACATAATTTCTGTCTAACAGGATATTTCCGGGTTTTATATCTCGATGGACAATAGGCTCTGGCTTCGAATTATGCAAGAACGATAGACCACAGGCCATTTCAAAAACTATACGGAATCGAAAAAACCAAGGAAGTGGTGGTTTTCCATTTCTGTTGAGAAGATAGTCTTCTAGGCTTCCGTTTTCGAGGTATTCGTAAACAAGGCAACCATTCTCAGGACAGGCCCCGAGTAACAAAACCATATTTGGATGGTGTAGTTGACTAAGAACCTCAACCTGCAATAAACCAGAGACAGCAGAAGGAAGGCTTAAAAACTCAGTCTCATATAAACAATGTCAAAAGGAAGGGAAAAAAACCAAAGCTCAAGGAAAACCTCTTTCAGAAACTCCGCTTTCTTGTTGATTGTTTCCTGATGCAGAACCTTCACAGCCACTGGTGTGTGATCAAGATTGCACTTGTAAACTTTCCCATATCCTCCTTCACCAATTACCAAGTCCTCGGACAAGTTGTTTGTAGCGATCTTGATTTCATCCATGGTATATTTTCTGTATCTCCTGTCGTTTGAGAGCAATGTATCGACAATTCTCTGTTTTTCTATGGATTCTTTAAGGACATTAAGTTCAGCCATTTGCCTTTCATATGACTCTTTGGCAAACATACTTTTTGACTCCTCGAGCTCCTTCATGACTTTTAAATACTTTGCTTTCTCTTCAGCGGCAATCTTTCTCAATGTCTCCTCTCTTTTTAAGGAAGCATTTATGATTTTAGCTTCTTCAAGAGACTCAGAAGAAAGTAAAAGGGCCTGAAAGTGGAGGCTTGCATGTTAAAAGAGCACAAGCAAATTTTTTGGAACGCCAAGCTCAATTATTCAAACAGTGGATCTTTTTTTCTTTTTAATACCTTTTTAGCTATTCAAAATTCTCACCTTACTTTGAGCATGAGCCAGTTCTTCACAAACTTGCTTGTACATGGCAATAGTATTCTGCAACTCCAGCTGCAACCGTTCTACTTCTTCCATGACTAACTACATATGCACACATCGTATGAAAGCCATTCCATGTTGGTGAATCACAAAATATAGCATTGATGCTGCAAGCAATTAAGGTCTAACCAAGCAAAAGAAAGTTACCGGCTCACGATGTGCAGAAGCAATGGAATCAAATGAGTGGAGACTGATAGTATCAACATAGTCTCCATAGTTTTCTGGATTTGCTTCTTCACTTATAATAGAATTTTCAAACGAATTCCTACGACTAGAAGTTTGCAGACCAATGTAACTGCGCTCTGATATTGATAGAAATCTGAAATTTTTTAGAATTTTAAGTTCTGCAGAGGATGCACTGATTCCAGACACTTGTCCACTAATGCCAGCACCATTGTCAGGTTTATTTAATTGGATATACCTTTGGCCTTCTTCTGTTGGAGGAAAATGAAAATCACAAATTTTTATAAATTATTCTACAAAGATTTTATTCATGAGCCTAGTTCGATAAAAAGTATTATCTAAACCATATATAAGATGGCCACACCATTAGGTGAGGCAGGAACTAATATTGTTGTAAATAGTTTATTTTACAGTTATTATTTTTAATATTATTAGTAATTCATTGTTTGGATAAATAGAAATATTAGTGTCTGTATATTCAATATAACAAATAATATTCAGATTTAACATGGTATCAAAACCCTAGCAGCTTTAATTCTTTTTTTTTTATCAAAACCCTAGCCGCCTTAATTCTCGTTCTTTTTTTAAAAACCTAGCTACCTTAATTGCGGTATATTTGTTGTTGCCTTCATCGCACAGTATCCTTTAACAAACCCTATGTACTATTCATTCATGTGCATTTTTCATAGAACTGCATTTATTCTCGTCTATTTTTTTATCTCACCACCGCCGACGCCTTGAAAAAATCAGCCAAACCCCAAAATTCAAAAAAAAAAACTTTCTCTCCATGGTTAGCATTAAAGATGAAACAAATGATTACAAATCTGAGTCAAAATTATCAAACATTCCTCCAGTTTACAAGTTGCATGAAAAAAATTATTTGAAATGGTCTCAATTCGTAAAAACAACCTTGAAAGGTAAAGGGAAAGTTGGACACCTAACAGACGAACCTCCCGAAAAGACGGATCCCAAGTTCTAGAAGTGGAATACAGCCATTATTGCATGGTTACGGCGTTCAATGATTCATGAAATCAGTAACACTTGCATGTTCTTAACCTTGAAAGCATTAGATGAGACTTATTCTAAACCCAAAGATGCTGTCCAAGTATATGATGTGAAGGTGAACACACTAGCGGCTAAACAATGAAACAAAACAGTTACAGAATATGCTAATCATCTCAAAATCTTGTGGATAGAGTTAGACCACTACAGAGTTATCAAAAACCAAGTGTATGGAAGATTCAACAACACTTAAGGAGTACATTGTGCAAGATAGAGTTTATGATTTTTTTGTGGGACTCAACTCTGACTTTGACCAAAATAGAATACAAATTCTTGATAAAGAAAAAGTACCAAACTTTAATGAGGTAGTGTCTACAGCAAGGAGAGAAGAAAGTAGAAAGGGGGAGAGAAGAAAGTAGAAAGGGGTTAATGCTGACACCACCTGTGGAAAGCTCACCAATGCTAGCTGAGAAGAATTTGACCATGATCGTTGATCAAAAAGAAATGGGGAGGAACCTATGTCGAGAAGAAGAGTGAAGGGGTGTGGTGTACTCATTGCAAGAATTTGACCATGATCGTTGATCAAAAAGAAATGGGGAGGAACCTATGTCGAGAAGAAGAGTGAAGGGGTGTGGTGTACTCATTGCAACAAGTTTTGTCATGCTCGAGAAAAATGTTTGAATTGAATTGAAAACCTCCTAATAGAGAGTGGGAACAGAAGGGAAATTTATCAAGAAAGGGAGGACATGCACACATGGCTAGAAGTACTAATGGAGACAGTGTAGAAGGAGGGATGCAACTTAACCTGAGTGAAGTAGAAAAGGTGAGATCTCTCCTCCGTAAGTTGGAGAAACCAACATGTACTTGTTCTCTAACACATCCAGGAACGTTTCTATTTCCTTTTTCTTTTGGCAAATCTCCATTTTCATATGGACTTAATGCTTTAGATATACCCTTTAAACAACATTGGATAAGGATTGCGGAGGCATTGATCACATGACACCCTTACCCACATACTTCTCCACTTATTCACCTCGCCTCAGTAACAAAAAAATATCCACTGTAGATGATACTCTTATAACTCTAGCAGGTCAATGAACTATTCAAATCAACTCATCCATGACCCATAACAACATCTTTCATTATCCAAAATTGTCTACTAGCCTTATTTCCATACAAAAACTCACAAAAGACCTATCATGTAATGTTATTTTCTACAACAACTCTTGTGTTTTTCAGGACAGGAATTCGGGAAGGATGATTGGAAGTGCTAGATAATGGAATGATCCCAAATTTTCTCAACAAAAATTCCTTTTTTTCAGAAACAATAAAGACCACTAGGGAAGGGAGGAGGTTTTCTTATACCATTGTAGCCTGGGTCATCTTTCGTTTAAAGTCATTAAGCAATTATTTTTTGTTTTATTTAAAACATTAGATGTTTAGAGTCTTCGTTGTGAAGTGTGTGAATTTGCTAAAAACAAGTGTGTACCTATTTTCCGTTAGTAATAAAATTAGTATCTATTTCATACAGATGTGTGTGGTCCATCTAATATTCCAAATACCCGCTAGTTCATAACATTTATTAATGATTGTACTCAAGTTACTTGGGCCTACTTACTTAAACAAAAATTTGAAGTTAATTGTGTGTTTTCTTAATTTCTCAACATGGTTAAAAATCAATTTGATATGAGAATTAAGAGGATTAGGCCTGATAATGTCAAGAATTACTTTAATCATAATCTTAATTCTGTGTCAAAATGAAGGTATTGTTCATGAGTCTTAATTCTGTGTCAAAATGAAGGTATTGTTCATGAGTCGTTATGCGTTAAAACACCTTAACAAAATGGCATTGCTGACTGCTGAGAGAAAAAATGAGCATTTGTTAGACCAAACACGTGATATGATATTTCAAAATAAAGTTTCCAAGAAATATTGGGACAAGGCAGTTTTAACTGCATCGTATCACATAAATCATTTTCCTTATACAGTCCTTGTCTCCAAAACTCCTATGGAAGTCTTATCCTTGTTCTATCATATTGTGTTTACCTCTAGTAACTTCACTCCTAAAATATTTGAGTGTACATCGTTCGTCCATACTCATAGTAATGGTAGGGAAAAACTTGATCCTAGAGCTTTAAAGTTTGTCCTCATAGAATATTCTTCCACCCAAGAGAGTTACAAATGTTATCATTCACCATCTCATAAATTCTTTGTTTCTCGAGATTGTTATCATCCCACCAACACTGTGTGCAAATTAAGAAAATCTTTACATGAGTTAAAGCAATTGCCACGAGCATAATTTGGAAGATTCACTAAAGTTATGGCAGGTTTGGGCTTCAAACTAAGTCAAGGAGATCATACCCTATTTATCACACATTCTGAAACAAGAGAAGAAGTAATTGTATTATTGGTGTACATAGATGATATTATAATCAAGGTAATTGATCAGTCACCATTTATACTATATTTTTATCACTTATTCGACAAGAATCCAAGTACTCTGTGGCACTTTCCACTTATTTTGTTATTGTTTGCAACAATTTTATGTACCGTAAATTTTCTACTCGCTTTATTGTTTTAAGCTTAATTTCAAGTTTTCTGTGTTTTATGCTTTGGTTGTCTGCCTTTGATTTTCTTCGGGACCTAGTATTAGATCCAAAAGACTCGGTGCGAGAAAGTGGAAAAATTCAGAGTTTTGGTAGAAGTTGGCTCAACCTACAGGAGGCCTGACACGGCCACCCGTGTCACCTGACACGGGCCGTGTCAGGATGAAAGCTGAGACTAGTACCAAGAAAAGCTAGAGGCCGTGGAGCAACACGGGCGTCCGTAGCACTTGACACGGACCGTGTTACAAGGTCTTAGAGGCCGTGGAGCAACACGGGCGTCCGTAGCACTTGACACGGACCGTGTTACAAGGTCTGAGACTCACAGAAGAGCAACACGGGCGCCCGTGTCAGCTCAAAACGCTGATTCTTCTATTTTCTTGTTTTTGGTCCAAGTGTTGAGATGCGGGGGTGTTTTGGGCATTTCCAACCAGTGCCATTGGATTTTCACTATTTAGAAGAGTTTTTACGAAAAATGAGAGGACTTTTTTTACAGGAACGAATTACACGATTCAAGATTAGAAAAGACAAGGTTTTAGGAGAGCGGAAGATTTTCATGAGCGGAAGCAATTGACTATCCAAGTTTACCCCATTACTTGTAATGTCTATTTTTTATATTGTATTTCCTTTGAACAGTATGAGTAGCTAAACCCTCAAATGTTAGGGGGTGTCCCTGATTTGAGTCTGTAAATGACTTTGATTTCCTATTTTCAGTTATATATTTGTTTTTTTTAATCAATTTAATCGTTCAATGTTTCTGATGCCTTCTCTGTCCGACCACCCCGATTTGAGTCTGTAAACGACTTTGATTTCCTATTTTCAGTTATATATTTGTTTTTTTTAATCAGTTTAATCGTTCAATGTTTCTAATGCCTTCTCTGTCCAACCAATAGGGATTGATTAACGATTAACAATTAGGCTGGACCGTCATTGTTAATGCTTTTGTGCGATTACGCTATAGTAGATATCACCTAGGACTAGGAATACCCTATAGCAACCGGTACATTCTTGATAGCACAAATGTTTGATTTCATCCTAAATTCCTATGAATGATCAGAGGTTTTTCCACTAATGACTTAGGGGAAAATAGACTAAAGAACCCGTAATTGATTATTTTGAACTTGTCAATGAAATAAGGATTCAAAGTTGTTACATGACAAATCATACACCTTACTCTAGCATCCTTACTCTAGCATGTTTCTCATATTTTTCAAATTCAATTTACTATTCTGTCATATTTACTCACTGTTAATCCATAATTTGCAAAACAAACTCAAACTCTAACTTTTGTTTAATTGAACCACTATTTGAACTCAATATTTGCACGCAGTCCTTGAAATCGACATTCGGAGAACTTTCTTCATTATTACTGCAAAAGGAAAAATAGTACATTTGCTATTTTTCTGATCAGTAATGATGAAGAAGGGCAACACTTGCTGGGCATACACTTAGACAAAAAATTTGAGATTAAGACCTTCGAAAATTAAAATACTTTTTAAGAATTAAAGTTGCCTACTCTAAAAAATTCATGCTCTAATCTACAGAAATTCATTTCCAATGATAAATGTACAACATCTTAAGGGAGAGTGCTATAAATAGTTTATTTTACTATTGTTATTTTTAATATTATCAATAATTTATTTAGATCTTTAGTAAAGCTCATTAGATAAGAATATTCTATTTAAAGAGATAAGTTCTTTAATATTCAATATATAACAAATAATATTCAGAGTCAACAAATATTTTATAAGGCAAGAAATTCAATCATACCATGAGAACGTGAAGATGAAGAATCAGCTAACTTTGATACAATTCTATCTCTATCTACAACATATACATCACAGTTATCAGGAGCACATCTTAGAATGGTAGTAGGTATGCCAGGTCCTTTTAGCTTCCTGGAAGTTAAATGATTATTATACTTAGTAAAATGATTATTATAGTGGATTGATTATGATCAATCATACTTTTTTTTAATGAAACTGTTGTGAAAATTAAGTCTACTAAACTTCCAAGGAAGTTTTTTGTTGTAGTAACAGACTTAGCATGCAAGTCTATAATTCCTGGTTGCAAAAATATAATTAGATGGTAGATACCTGCAGGGAGTGAAAATCAAGCCAATTTATTACATAAAAACTCATAGAAATATATAATTTCAGGCACGGAATAATAACAAAACTCCAAAACAGATAATGCTTTGAATATTTAGAAACACATACCTTGTAATAAAATTTGAGGAGTCAGAACCCAGCACTAATATTTGTACCCCAGACTCCGAGATAAAGCTAAGAAGTGCATTTGCCGGATTGTCGTCTTCTAGCAAAAAGGTTTCTATCTACAAAATTTTCGGATTAATCTTATTCCCATAACTCCTTTTACATTAAAAGGACTCTTTTACTGTTTTCAATACAAATCATTAGAAAAAGATAAGCAATGTGAAAAGAAGATGACAATGACATTGTTATAATTAGAAGTGAAAACAAAAAATGAAAACAAAAGACATTATCATTTATCAAAGTAAAGAGACCGTGATTTTTTCAAAGTCACGTATTTTGCTTAGCATACCAACTACTTATACATGTATCTGAACATTGTAGAAAGAAACATACCGTGTTTGATTCACATAGTTTTTTGAATGAAACAAAGATTTCTTCAGACTTCTGTTTCACATCCTGCACATAAGCTGCAAAGGCATGGGTGTCTGCTTCTGAAATGGGAATATACTCTCCAGCTGTGAATTCGACATCCCAAAACACCAGCAAAGCATTTCAGTCACCAAAATCAGTTTCCAATCATAAAAGACTAACAAAGCACTTGCACCAAAAGGGTACTTGTATTTACACCAATGTGATTGCCTAATATCAGTCTCCTGCACAGTCAATTTTAAAGGTTCATTGCCCCTCAATGTTAGGTTTATTTGTATTGTACTGTTGTACTTAGCTTACTAGGTTCCTGTTGGACTTTCCGCCTTAATTGCGGCTCTTTGGCTTGCCTCATTGCAGCCCCTAACACCTTCTTTGTGTTAGCTTTAAGGGGTGGATTTAGTACCGCATTGCTTAGAGATATGGCATGTGTTGTGTTTATAAGTGGGAGCAATCCTCACCTTACAAGCTGGTTTTGTAGGGATGAGTTAGGTCCAACCCAAATTCTGAGATGGTATCAGAGTCTATCCTAAATCTATTGTTGGGCTTCCCGCATCATCCACGCTTTGGGCTCATTGAGGTCCAAGCGTGAGGGGGTGTGTTGGACTTTCCGCCTTAATTGCGGTCCGCCCCTAGTCGCCTTAATTGCGGCTATTTGGCTTGCCTCATTGCAGCCCCTAACACCTTCTTTGTGTTAGCTTGTAAGGTGAGGATTGCTCCCACTTATAAACACAACACAGGCCATATCTCTAAGCAATATGGTATCAGAGCTCCCGTTCCTTGGGAGTCTCTGACCGTGCCTATAAACCCTAAGTTGCAGCCTTCATTGCTGCGCTACCTTTAAACCTTGTCGCAGCTTTCATTCATTCTGTTTATCGGTTAAATGGGAAGAATTATCTCAAATGGTCTCAACTCATTAAGACCATCTTGAAAGGAAAAGGAAAGGTCAGTCACCTGACTGATAGTACTGATAGTCCACCTGCTGAAACAGATCCCAAGTTCAAATCATGGGATGAAAAAGACTCCATGATCATGGCGTGGCTAAAAAGACTCCATGATCATGGCGTGGCTGTGGAATTCAATGGTCCCAGAAATTAGTGATACCTGCATGTTCCTTAAATCAGCAAAGGAAATTTGGGAGGCAGTAGAACAAACTTATTCTAAGGCCAAGGATGTTGCTCAAATTTATGATGTAAAGGTGAAAACCGTGGCTGCCAAACAGGGAAACAGATCTGTTACAGAATATGCTAATCAACTCAAGTCTCTAGGATGGAATTGGACCACTATCGAGTTATAAAAGCAAAATGTTCGGAAGACTCGGCAATCCTTAAGGAGTATCTTGAACAAGATAGAGTCTATGATTTTTTGGTAGGTTTAAATCCTGTGACCAGGTCCGAATCCAAATCCTGGGAAAAGAGAAAGTCCCAGGGCTTAATGAAGTGGTAGCCATTATCCGGAGTGAAGAAAGCAGGAGAGGACTGATGTTGGAGACCTCAATAACTGAAAGTTCTGCAATGATAGCTGAAGGAGGAACAATCATGGTTGCTAACCAACGAAGAAGTGGGGTTCCCAATATGGAGAAAAAACATGAGGATATCTGGTGTACCTACTGTAACAAGCCGCGTCAAACAAGGGAGAAGTGCTGGAAATTACATGGGAAACCCCCAAGCCGAGAATGGGGGCCGAACGGAGGCCCTCCAAAAAGGGGAGGACAAGGGCAAGCACACATCAGTCATGGACAAAGTGAAGGATCTGGCCAGCTGAATCATGAAGAGATAGAACGGGTAAGATCATTCCTTAGTAAATTGGAGAAGCCCACAGGAACATGCTCCTTAACATATTCTGGTAAGTTTCCACTTTCTTTTGAGCTTAATGTTTCAGATACACCATTTACACATTACTGGATATTAGACTCTGGAGCCACTGACCATATGACCCCTCTACCCAAATATTTCTCCACATATTCCCCATGTCCTAGCAACAAGAAAATTTCCACAGCAGATGGAACCCTTATGACTGCAGCAGGACAAGGAGAGGTCCAAATAAACCCATCCATAACATTTAAAAATGTCCTTCATGTCCCTAAATTGTCCACCAATCTGATTTCTATACAAAAACTCATAAAAGATCTCTCATGTAATGTTGTTTTTCATAACAACTCTTTTGTACTGCAGGACAAGAACTCGGGGAGGACGATTGGACATGCTAGAGAATGGAATGGCCTATACTACATGGAGGATCCTAATCTGCCTACCAGGAGCTGCTCTCTCATATCTGAATCCATCATGACCAACAAAGAGAATGTGCAACTATACCATTGCCGGCTAGGACACCCTTCATTTCGAGTTGTAAAAGTGCTTTTCCCTTTCTTGTTTAAAAATTTAAATGTGGAAAGTCTCCATTGTGATGTGTGTGAGCTTGCTAAACACAAGCATGTACCTTTTCCCATTAGCAATAAGATGAGTCATTTCCCTTTTTTTCTTGTTCACACTGATGTATGGGTTCCTGCTTACGTTCCTAATATCTCAGGTGCTAAATGGTTTTTAACCTTCATAGATGATTGTACCCGGGTGATTTGGGTTTTTCTATTAAAACAAAAATCTGAAGTTAGCTCTGTGTTTTTTCAATTTGTCTCAATGATTAAAAATCAATTTAGGGTCTGTATCAAAAGAATTAGGTCTGATAATGCCAAGGACTATTTTAACCTTGTACTAAACTCTTTTTGCCAAAAGGAAGGGATAATCCATGAGTCCTCATGTGTGAACACACCCCAACAGAATGGGTTGCAGAAAGGAAAAATGGGCACCTATTAAATCAAACTAGAGCTCTACTTTTTCAAAACCATGTCCCTAAGAGATTTTGGGGGGAAGCCCTTCTTACTGCCACCTATCTAATCAATAGGTTACCCACTAAAATCTTAGACACTAAAAGCCCCATGGAAATCCTATCCTCATTCTACCCACACTTAGATCCTACAAATAAACTCCAACCTAGAATATTTGGATGTGTATCCTTTGTGCATGTTCATAGTAATGAAAGGAGAAAATTAGACCCTAGGGCTGTCAAATGTGTATTCTTAGGGTACTCTACCACACAAAAGGGATACAAATGTTTTCACCCTCTATCAAAAAAATTCTATGTGTCGAGAGATGTGACCTTCAACGAACAAGAGAGTTACTTCAAGCAGCCTCATCTTCAGGGGGAGAATGTAAGAGAGGAAGATGAGACTCTCATGCCTCCAAATATGACATTTGGACCAGAAATTGGGACAAATGGCATTGTTGTCCCTGAAATTGAGAGAAGAGCAGAACTTGTACTTGAAACAACGGTAGGACCTACACCTACACCTGAACCTGAACCAACAGCAAGACCTGCACCTGAACCGGCACTTAATGGTGGAAGATTTGGGAAAAATCTGGTATATTCAAGGAGAGAAAATGCCATTCTAGAGTCTGGCAATGTCCAAGAGCCCAGCCCATCATCACTGCATGAGGTAACACTTTTGATTCCTATAAACTCTAATGATTCTAATGAGTTTGTTTCTGAAAATTTAGAAGCACAGGTGGACCAAAATTTAGACTTACCCATTGCTCTTAGAAAGGGAACTAGAACATGCACCCAACAACCACTTTACCCACTGTCAAATTTCTTATCCTTTGAAAAATTCTCACCTACCCATAAAACCTTCCTCGCAAACCTCAACTCCACACACACCTTCCTCTGTATCTGAAGCATTATCTGGCAGGAAATGGAAACAAGCCATGGATGTGGAAATGGAGGCGTTAAGCAAGAATAGGACCTGGGAACTTGTCACCTACCAATTGGAAAAAAAACAGTAGGATGCAAGTGGGTATATACAGTAAAGTACAGGGCTGATGGGACCATTGAACGTTATAAGGCAAGATTAGTGGCCAAAGGCTTCACTCAAACCTATGGAATTGATTACTTGGAGACCTTTTCCCGGGTTGCTAAGATGAACACGGTCAGAGTAATATTGTCATTAGCAGCAAATCATGATTGGGACCTGCAGCAATTTGATGTGAAGAATGCTTTTTTACATGGAGACCTTGAAGAAGAAATATACATGGAGTTGCCACCTGGTTACAATGGACAGGTTGCTGCTGGAACTGTTTGTAAGTTAAGAAAGGCTTTATATGGGCTGAAACAATCTCCAAGAGCGTGGTTTGGAAGATTCACCAAAGTTATGACAGGTCTGGGCTACAAACAGAGCCAAGGGGATCACACATTATTTATCAAACATTCAGTTTCGGGGGGTAACAATTTTATTGGTGTATGTAGATGATATTATAGTAAGTGGGGATGACAAAAGGGAGCAGCAAGTGTTAAGTGAATGCCTTGCCACTGAATTCGAGATCAAGACATTAGGGAGACTTAAATATTTTTTGGGAATTGAAGTGGCTCATTCCAACAAAGAAATGTTCATATCTCAACAAAATTATATTACTGACTTACTTAAAGAAACAGGTAAGACAGCCTGCAGACCAGCAAGTACCCCAGTTGACCCAAATATAAAGTTGGGAAGTGCGGAGGAGGATATTGTCGTGGACAAGGAAATGTATCAAAGGCTTGTGGGCAGACTTATTTACTTATCTCACACTAGACCAGACATTACTTTTGCTGTAAGTCTAGTCAGCCAGTTTATGCACCAACCAAAAGAAGCACATTTACAAGTTGCTCTTAGAATTGTCCAGTATTTGAAAGGGACCCCAGGAAGAGGGATTTTGTTCAAACGAAACAAGAGTATAAGTCTTGAAGCATATACGGATGCGGACTATGCGGGGTCAGTGGTAGATAGGAGGTCAACTACTGGATACTGCACCTTCCTTGGTGGAAACCTCGTGACTTGGAAGAGCAAAAAACAGAGTGTAGTGGCTAGATCGAGCGCCGAAGCAGAATTTCGGGCAATGGCCCAAGGAATATGTGAACTTCTATGACTGAAGATTATATTGGAAGACTTGAAGATAAGATGGGATGAAACTATGAGGTTATATTGTGACAACAAGTCTGCAATTAGTATAGCCCACAACCCAGTGCAGCATGATAGAACTAAACATATCGAGGTTGACAGACACTTTATCAAGGAAAAACTAGACAGTGGCATGATTTGCACACCATATGTATCCACTCAGAATCAACTTGCAGACATACTCACCAAAGGGCTGAACTGCATTAACTTTGAAAGAATTATATCCAAGCTGGGAATGGAAAACACCTATTCACCAGTTTGAGGGGGAGTGTCAAAAGAGTGATTGGTTTTGTGTATTTTAGGAAGGATTATATTTGTAGTAATTCTGTAATGTAACAGTTGTATCTTGCTAATTATTAGGTTTATTTATTTAGGATCAACCCCATAATCACAAGGATTTGTTTCCTTAGAACTAGTTGTCCATATTTCCTAAAATAGACTGCAGGCTCATGTATATATATACAGGTCATGTGACCTCATAAGAAAATACAATAAGAATATTATTTCTTCTAAATTTGATATGGTATCAAAGCCTATCCTAAATCTATTGTTGGGCTTCCCGCATCGTCCACGCTTTGGGCTCATTGAGGCCCAAGCGTGAGGGGGTGTGTTGGACTTTCCGCCTTAATTGCGGTCCGCCCCTAGTCGCCTTAATTGCGGCTCTTTGGCTTGCCTCATTGCAGCCCCTAACACCTTCTTTGTGTTAGCTTTGAAGGGGTGGATTTAGTCCCACATTGCTTAGAGATATGGCTTGTGTTGTGTTTATAAGTGGGAGCAATCCTCACCTTACAAGCCGGTTTTGTAGGGATGAGTTAGGTTCAACCCAAATTCTGAGAGTTCCTATGTTTAGGGGTTACACGGTAGTTTTCTTATCTTTCCCGGTTTGTATAGTGCTGAATATGTTGAAGTTTCACTTCTTGTTGCACTTTGTTATGTAAGACTGTGGAATAGCCTAAGTTAGTTCTTGAATGAAGTAGAGAAACATTTACTTTCCTTTTTTTTCAGTCGACATAACATCTGGTATTGAAGTTCCATTACGAGCCTGATTTAAATTAGAAACATAAATTTTCTGTATTTTAGTAGTAATTGAAATATGACAGACGGTTCTTGTGTACAACCAATACCATACGTATAGAAAAAATGCAAAGAAACCTACAGATTCTTGGGCCCAAGAGTTTTCGTGTTGAAGAAGAACAAACCTTGAAAATCACTCATGGATATCATTTATGAGGAAGGGATTGAGGCTTTGGAGCTTTAAAGGAAGAGGTAGCCAGAATAGCCACAGTGGAGTGCTATAAATGCCACAAGTTAAGACATTTCAGATGGGAATGCCCAAGCAAGGATGAGGAGGCCAACTGCACAAGCTATAAGACATAGACACGTCGACACCACTACTTTTGAGACATTCTAGTTAAATTTAATGTCCTTAACCCTTCATTTATCAACATTGTTTTGACAGTCTTTAATCCTTTTAGATGTGTTTGAAATTTGTCCAAGGAATATATACCTTGTGTTGAAGAAAAGAAAAAAACAAGCTTATTTCATAGAGAAGATGTGATGTTACCAATGGCTTACTTAGATATGGGTAAGACAAAAGAAGAATAAAAATGGTTTCTTGACTCAAGATGTAGCAATCACACCAAAACCAAATAGTGTGGAAGAAAATCAAACTAATCAGATTTAATTCAAATTTTAGAGTTTTTGCTAAGTTGGGCAATAACAAAAGTTTGGTAATGAGAGGAAAAGTTAACATTAAGTTACTAGTAAATGGAACATTATAAACAACATAGGAGTATCATATGGACTGGAGATGAAGAACACATTGTTGAGCATTGGCAGATTACAGAAATAAGGGTTTTCAGTTCTGATTTAACGTAAAAACTGCAAGGTGCTTTGTCCAGGGAGGGTTTCATTATGGAAGCTAACATGTCTTAAAATAGAATGTAAGCATTGCACGAAACATTCAGCAAGTTGCATATGTATTTTAGCACAATTAAAGAAGAAACTGTGAAGCTTTGGCACTGCAGATAAGAGCATTTGAGTTTAAACGTCTTGAAGACTTTTTGTCAAAAGCAAAAAGATTAGTGGCTTTGGCTTATCACAGAGTAAGTAGTTTTCCTTGAAGCTTTGTAAAGATTATTTGGGTACAGATATGTTAGACAGGTTATGTGCTAGTTGAGTTAAAACGGTGTAATATGCTGATCTAGGTTTCGATTTCGGGCCGGTAATTAGAGATTTATTAGATATGGTTGAAGTTTGTTAAATGTAATTACAAATTGGTTAGAATCAGTTAAAACTAATGACTATGCTACTCTAAAGTTGATCTTAGAAATATTAAATGAAAGGCGAGGGAGATGAGATTGAGATACCTGGGGATAGAATTGAAGTGATTCTAGGGATTACGTGAACTAAGATGAGTCTATCTGCTTGAGGCACCACATTCTTCATCGCCCACAGCAAGGCTCGCCGGCTACCCTTGGCGGCGCCGGAGCCGCCACTGACGGCAACTGCAACCGATCTCGGTGAGGACATCCTCTATCTGTTTGAGAAAATGACAAAGTGGGTGTTTGTTAGGAGTGAATGAATCTTGGGTCAATGAGACTCGCGTTGGGTTGGGTGGTCGAGTGACTTACTTCCTTTTGACTCATCCTTTCGTTGGGTTGGGTGGTTGAGTTTTAGATTTTACTATTTTAAAAGTTTTTATCTTTAATTTCGGTTGACTTAATTGCAACTATAATCCCTCTATTTTGTATTTTTTGGAGTTTTGTTCCCCATTTTAAAAATTACTATTTTGGTCTTTTTTTCAAATTTTGAGTTTGATTTTAGTCTCTTCTCCAATTTTAAATTTTTTTTAATGATGTGGCATTATCTAAGATGATGTGTCTAATGCCATGTCATTTTAAAAAAATTAATTTAAAAACTTTTTTATTGACTAGGATAATTAACTTATTAATATTATTTTAATTAATTAATTAATTAATGATTAATATTTTATTATTAATTTTTATAATTAATTAATTAATCAAAATTTTAAATGAAATTCTTTGGACCTTAAGTTATTAGCTCATGACTTTGATCCATTTTTCTAACCCACACTTGAATTATTATGTTTGTTTCAGCTTTATAAACACTTTTATGTCTTATACAGAAATCAACGTGGAACTTCTAAAAGACATTTTATACTACACATTATCTCATTGCAAGATCGTCAACATAGTTTGATTGAAAGCATACTGACAGCAATTATGGGTATAACGTTTTTCGTCATCCTCCCTCCAATCTTTGCATACCAAAAATTCTGACAAAAGTAAATATTTGAAAGATAAAGCATAGAGATGCAAATAATAAATAAAATGAATTAAATCAAAAGTTGCAATGCTCAGTTCATCAATATAAAAGTACAAACATAGTTCGAAAGCAAACAGCTAATAAAATAAGAAAAATACAAACAATGAGAAACAAAGGTCTGTGATTAAAACAATACAAAGATAAACTATCATGTCTAAAACAAATAAATAGTCTGCTGAGGTCAGCCTGAAGTTTCACTTCTGATGCCCTGGCAAAGGATTCTTCTGGATGTTCGGAGGATTGTCTGGAAAATCAAGTATCCCTGCTCTCATCAGCTTACGCACTCTGGCTTTCAGTGCAAAACAATGCTCTAAGTCGTGGCCTAAGGCACCCTCATGAAAAGCGCATTATAGATCAGCCCTAAATCCAGCTGGAAGAGGATCAGGAGGAGGTGGCAAAGCCCTTGTAGTAATCAGCCCTCGTTGAACCAGGTAAGGATAAAGTTTTGTGTAAGTCATGGGAATAGGATCAAATTGATTCCTATTTCGATACTGGTCTGGTCTAATAACTGGACGTTGAGGATTCTGAGCTGGCTGCGGAGCAACAACAGGTTGAAATCCCTGGCGAGGCTTTCTTGATTCAGTCATGACAACATTGGTCTGCTCATCCTTCCTCTTATGGAAATTCCCATAGGATTTCTTTGCCCCATTAGAAGATTCGGCAGCTTTGGATACCTTACCATTTTTCAACCTTTCTTCTAACCTTTGGCCAATAGTTACTAAATCTGTAAAGCTTGAAGAGACACTCCCAATCATCTTTTCCCAATAGAAAAGAGACAAAGTATCCATGAATATTCATGTCAGTTCCTTCTCTGCTATAGGGGGTTCGACTTGGGAAGCTAACTCCCTCCAACGCTGAGCATACTCCTTGAACGACTCTTTTTCCTTCTGAGACATACTTTGAAGTTGGCGACGATCGGGAGCCATATCTAAATTGTATTTGTATTGCTTCATAAAAGCGTTGACGAGATCTTGGAAGCAGTGGACACTGTTATGCTCTAAGTTCATATACCATTTAAGAGAAGCACCACTCAAACTATCCTGAAAGCAATGGATGAGAAACTTCTTATTGTTGGTGTAAGCTGCCATTTTTCGGAAGTACATGACTATATGGACTCTTGGACCTGAATGACCTTGATACTTCACGAACTCAGGAGTCTTGAACTTGGCAGGCAAAACAAGACCAGAAACTAGGCACATATTATCGGCATCAACGTTGAAGAAATCAGTACCCTCGACAGCTTGGAGTCTCTTGTTTATGATCTGAAACTGTTCACGGGTGATCTCAGGCTCAACAAAATCTTCTTGAACACCGGCAATATTATACTCATAGGGAGGATTCTCAACGGGAGCTTGGATAGTCTGATTAACCGTGTGGACCACAGGCTGGGCCTCGGTAAGGACAGGAGCTTGAAAAACCGGTCTGACAGCCTGACCAATCATAGCAGCAGATGCAACAGGTGGAGAGTAGTTAGGAGGTAAACCAAACTCAGGCCAAGTAGAGGGCGGCAATGAAACATGAGGTGGATCAACACTTGAAACTTCCTGAATGACAGTCCTCTGAGGTGGCTCTCCTCTGGCAATCAACACTTGAAGCATCTCAGTAAGCCTGGTCATGCCTGCTTTCAACTCATCAATCTCTATTCGGACCTCCGCATTATGTTCCTCTTGTTCTGACATTTGGCGTCTATAGTTAGCTCTAGTCTGATATCTGTATCGAGGAATCAGCTTGACGACTCAACGGAACACTGGAAGATAAAGACAACTGGACATGAGAAACCCGGGGGCAGATGCCATGCAAGACATGATGCTAATGCAATGCAATAGTTCCAAGAACTTCAACGGTCGATTGCAAACATTTCTTTTTTAGGAAAGTTGGAAACGGTTTTAAACTTTGAAATGTAGGACTTTTGAATTCGCAAAGGACGGTTGAATTCTTGAAACTAGGAATGATGTTTTATGAATGTCATGCACAAATACACACAAACAACAAAGTCCTAGGTTAGAGGAACAATGAATGGAGTTAAGGTCTATCCTTCCCAAAAGGTATGTACTATGGGGTAGTTGTACCTACAGAACAAGGTTCTAAAGAGGTGCCCAAAGTCATCAGTCCATCTTTCGGATATTATCAATTTCCCAATTGACTCGGTGGTTAATAATATTCTCGAGAGAGCCTCTTTTGAGTGTAGTATCGTGTAGCAACTATTTTGGGAATATTCCTTCATAGTCCTTGCACTACGTCCTAGATAAGGCCAAGGTGGTGTTAAGGTACTACAGTCCCCAGTATCACGGACTCCAATCGACAATAGTAAAAGTTTTCACGAATACTCGTTCAACTGAACCTTTTTCGAAAGGGTCTCAACTGAGCGGTGATTCTCAAGTCAGCTTGGTCGGGAATCACTCCCTATAAGCCTCGTCGAATATATCACCTTCCTATAATAATGTCACTAAAGTCCGGGTGTAGGACTTATCTCACAACAAAGATACCCCAAGCAAGGTACAATATATACAGATAATAAAATAAAATAGAAATATCATACAATAAACAAAATAGGGGCAACCCTTAAAAATTAGGAGGGTCCCCAGTGAAGTCGTCATTTTCTATTGCGGTTAGAATATGATATCAAATTATTAATTAATTTGAATTGCATCTTTAGTTCACAACCGCTCTTTGATTTATCCGAAGGAAAAGGTCAAAAGAGGGAAAACCTATTTTTGCATCGTAAACATAATGCGGGGAGAGACCTAGGTAAGGGGTTGGTTAAGCTCAGGGAAGGTACTAGCACCCTAAACTTCTGTAGTACTCTACAAGAACCTTTTGTTTATTGTATGTTTTTTTTATATTTTATTATCTGCTTTAATATATATTGAGCTAAGGGATAGAGTGACCTAAAGACCTAATGGTTAGTCCTAAGTTTACTCGGCAAGACGTCGCATCTTGTGCCTACATATCCTGACGGGAATGGAATCAGAGTAATTGTAGTTCCCCTCGAAAGGGAGGTTAGAAACTTCTTGACTATGGTCAAGGTTTCAATAGGGAATAAACGTATCTTAAGGACACGCTTACGTGGAGTCTTAAAACTCATATTTCTACGTTGAATTTGTTAAATGAAATTAGGGTTAAATTAGGGATTCCACGGCGGGAAACCCTAAACAGAGTACGGCGACTCTTTGACCTAATGCTAGGGTAAAGGGCATTTTCGTCCACGGCGGGACACCTAGGCTATTAGGGTTTTTGAAACGGTCAAAAATTAGGGTTATTGACTCGGCGGTCAAACGGCTAGACCTAATTCCTTCGGAGGGAATCCTAACGGTAAATCATGCAAACAGACAAAATATCGTACGACAAAATTAAAGTGCGGAAAGTAAAGAAAGCGTCGCGACGATCACTCGCGTAAATTACAAATCCCCAAAAAATGCAAAATAAAATAAACCGCGACCATGGCCTCGCGTAAATTACATCCATGGAACAAAATAAACTGAATAAATATTAATCAGAATTTAAGGATAATCTGAGGAGAGAAACAAAGAACATTAGTGAAAGGTTAGACGAAATTCAATGGCAAATAACAAAATAGTGAAAAAGTAAAAAATACGAATTTGGACATTGTTATTGTTCTTAATACTTTTTGAAAAAAGATCTTAATTTTAATTTTTGAAAAAAAGACGAATTTTAATGTTAATATCAAAAGATTTTTAGTTTTCATTATATTTATAAAAAAAAATAGTTAGTGTTGATTATTTAAAAAGTTTTAAAAATAAAAAAAATGTTTTAATTTTAAAAGGTTTTACTATATATAAAAAAAGTTTTAATATATATATAAAAAGTTTTAATAAAAGAAAGTTTTAATAATAAAAAGAAAGTTTTAATAAAAAGAAAAGGTTTTAATAAAAAAAAAAAAGAAGTGTTAATAATAAATTAAAACCTAATGTGATTACTAATTACATTTAAAAAAAAAGAAAGAAATAATAAGATAATATAAAAAATGAAATAGAAATAGAAATAAAAGGAGTGAGGATAGGTGGATGGTATTGGAAAAAAAAACTTTTCGGGGAAAAAACCTTTTATGAGATTCAATGGTGATAGATGTGTATGTTATTCTCAAGTGGTATATGTGTATGTTATTCTCAAGTGGTAGATGTGTATGTTATCCCACTTATAGATTTTCCACTATAATCAAATCG